ATAAAATAAAATAAAGTCATTCCTTTTCATGAAAATCACCGGTTCTTGTAAAAAATACACAGTAAAAAACGCTACAAAAAAACTATTTGTAAAATGCCGCGTAAGAAAACACATCTCGTCGGATAACCGTACATGTCGAGAATAACCAAGTGGTTCGTCGGATCCCATGGCACAGGATTGTCGGTCGATGTAGATCCGCAATGATTCGCTGGCACGGAAAGTTAACAAATTCAGTAAGATGCACGGTCATGAAGTGAGGATTCGCGCGCTACTACAATTGGCCGTAGGCCACTTAATTAATATTATTGTCTGCTCGTCATACTTAAAGTACGATGAGCCTCGTAAGTTGTTTTACGCCAAATTCAAATTCTAGCTTATGACTTGACTTGTAAATTACAATTTATTATTAAAAACTACCAATGAAGAGCAACCTGTTGTGTCTACGTGAGAGAAAATATCTGGCGTCGAACGGTTAATAATATGAAGTGCAAGCTGTCGTTGACGATGATCAGCTTTAGTGTCTAGTTACCAAGAAATCTTAACTGTAAATCGGTGAGGGGCGTCACTAAAATAATGATTATGGTAGACACGAGTAAAAACTAAATTTAAAAGGACGGTGGATATCCAGAAATGAAGTGAATAACGAAACATATACTATTACGTAATAACGTAATACCCAGACTCGAAGGATCATCCGACGGATCGTGATTGGAGGAACTACTCCGAAGTGCCACCATTGCCACGTCGACTCCAATCTACAGCGAGAGGACCCACGGATCCGACGACAATGAAGAGGCCGGCCGGCGATAAATATAAGTACACACACACCCACACCTACACATAAGGGTGGTTCGCTTTTGCAAAAATGTTCAAAATCGCGTATACGTCATGGCGATTCTGAAAGTTCAAGTCTTTACGAAAAGAAAGCCGGGTTCAGAACCTAAAAAAAGTGTCGGGAACCGGTGTCGATCGATTTTTGAAGTTTAAAAACGTGGTTCAAAATAGGAGCAAAATCGGTCAACCATTCAATTTATTTCAAACTGTGTTTCGAGAGTAAAAATAATATAGACAATACATTTTCTTACGTATTTTTGTCTGTAGAATCGAATGCCGTAGTCAGTTTTGCTCTACGACTTTGTTTTCATCGATAAAAATGTACTTTTTTGATATTTTTTCGCTTAAAAATCCAAAAAATCGACTTTGCAACGTTTAAAAATGAACAGAAAAAATCTTCGAAAATTTTTGACACTACCAAAATTTATAATTTTTTGTGACGAATCCAACCGTATACATTAGTATATGCTTTAAAATTATTTTCATTCATAAAAATTCAAATTTTCGTTTTTTTTGGCTGAATTTGACGAAAAATCTCGAAAACGAGATGTTTTCGAAAAAAAAACGTTTTTTTCTATAACGATGTTTTAGGACCAAAATCACAATGCATTCAATTTTACAGCAAAAAATACAAAAAAAATGTTGCAGCGGGATTTTTTAAGAGCACTTTCTCTCAAAAAGGACGCGTTTTCGAGATTTTTCGTCAAATTCAGCCAAAAAAAATCGAAAATTTGCATTTTTATGAATGAAAATAATTTTAAAGCATATACAGTGGTCGCCGCTTAAGAGAATTGCGCTTAATAGAATACGCCGGTTAAATGAATCAAAAATCCTAACAATGATTTTCCCGTATCCTTATACATGTAAAATTCACCGCTTAAGTGAATAAACTTTTCGCTTAATAGAATCAAATTTAGTTTGAAGACGATGTTTACATTCAATGTTGTTGTCGATTAAATACAAGTTTCATTGTCAGTACTTTCTCATAGCACCGTCGGTATTACATGCTCATAATAATTAATTGTGTTAGTGATACAAGTATGAAAAAATCATCAGCTATAGTTCATAGAAAAGGCTTAAGTGTCCTTGAAAAAAAGGAGCTACTAAAAAAATATGATTTGTTGCCAAATTTATCACAAAGTGATGCAGCGCTGTTATTAAACATATCACAAGCTACTCTTAGTAGATTATTATTAAATCGTTACGAGATAGAAAGTACCTCTTGCTCTCACGAAAATCTCAGCCGCAAGAGAAAACGATGCGGCAAAGACGAAGACGTAGAAAAAACGTTGAAGAAATGGTTTGTGGAAGTGAGAGAAAAAGGCGCTCCAATTAATGGCCCGTTACTTAAAGCAAAAGCTGAAGATTTGTCAAAGAAATTAGGCAAAGAAAATTTCAAGGCCACTGACGGTTGGCTCTCACGTTGGAGAGGCCGAGAAAATATTGTGTATCGCAAGCCACATGGTGAACAAGCCGAAGCTGATTTTACAAGTGCAAATGAGTGGTTTATACAAGAATGGCCAGAAATATCTAAAAATTATTCGCCAAGCGATATATTTAATGCTGACGAAACGGGTTTATACTACCGAGCATTACCAGAGCATACATATGCTCTAAAATCAGAAAATACGAAAGGCTTCAAAACAAGTAAGGAGCGTATAACGTTGTTATGCTGTGCCAGTATGGCAGGTGAAAAAAAAGACCTGTTTGTTATTGGAAAATTTAAGAATCCACAATGCTTCAAAGATGTGACTCAATTGCCTATTGCTTACACGGCCAACAGAAACGCGTGGATGACAAGAGACATTTTTTCTGATTGGCTACGAAATTGGGATAGACAATTAAAACGCAAAATTTTATTAACCATTGATAATTGCGGTGCACATTCAAACTTAGAGCCTATGAAAAATATTACAGTGGTTTATTTACCTGCCAACACGACGTCTCTGATACAGCCTTGCGATCAAGGTATAATTCGTACATTAAAAGCGTACTATCGAAGAACAATGAGGGAACGGATTATACAAATATTAGATAATCAACAAAATGTCAAAGCCAATGACATTGCCAAGAAGACCTCTCTGCTTGATGCGCTACATCAGATCAAAGAAGCTTGGTCTTATGTATCTAGCGAAACGATAAAAAATTGTTTTAGAAAGGCTGGGTTTGTTAACGGAACTAATGAAATATGTAATATTTCGAGCAACGTTAGCTTGAACGAAATTTATCCGGAAGATATGACACATGAGGTTTTTGACGAGTGGATAGATATTGACGAATGTCTAGAAACCTCTGGAAAGCCAACAGATGATGACATATGCCAAAAATTGGACACAGATGAATCAGAAATTGAAGAGGAAGATGATAGTATAGAACCCGCACCTAATAATCTAGAAATGTTTAACGCATTACAAGTCTTGAGACGAGGAGTTCAACATCGTTCGAAATCCTTTGAAGAGTACTACAAATTTGAAAAATTTATTTTCAAAATAATTGACCAAAAGAAAAAACAAACCAAGATAAATGACTATTTTACTAAATTATAATGGTGTCACATATGATTTGAATAAATATTTAATAATAAATAATTTATTATATAAATTATATATATATATATATTCATTTATAATAATAAATTATTTATTATAATAATGCATAATTTCTCGGATTCAAAGTTATTTATAAGTTATTGCAATCCCTATCGGATAGTAGAATCATCCGCTTAATAGAATGAAAATTTTTGTCACACAGTGATTCTCTTAAGCGGCGACCACTGTACTAATTTATACGGTTGGGTTCGTCACAAAAAATTATAAATTTTGGTAGTGTCAAATATTTTCGAAGATTTTTTCTGTTCATTTTTAAACGTTGCAAAGTCGATTTTTTGGATTTTTAAGCGAAAAAATATCAAAAAAGTACATTTTTATCGATGAAAACAAAGTCGTAGAGCAAAACTGACTACGGCATTCGATTCTACAGACAAAAATACGTAAGAAAATGTATTGTCGATATTATTTTTACTCTCGAAACACAGTTTGAAATAAATTGAATGGTTAACCGATTTTGCTCCTATTTTGAACCACGTTTTTAAACTTCAAAAATCGATCGACACCGGTTCCCGACACTTTTTTTAGGTTCTGAACCCGGCTTTCTTTTCGTAAAGACTTGAACTTTCAGAATCGCCATGGCGTATATGCGATTTTGAACATTTTTGCAAAAGCGAACCACCCTACTACACACACACTATCGGGCTGTCGCGTCGCGTATTTCGCGGATTATTTATTATTACTTATTATTACTTATTGGAACTCGCGCCCTGGGATAAGAAATTGAGTCTGCATGCTTTTCATGCTGTGGTGCCCCGAGCAAAATTGTACTTAATTGATTCTCGAATCCACAATACATTTCTTTCTATTATTTAATTATTACATGATTGTGTCATCATTATTTATTTCAACCCTCCACCAAAATCCCTCACAGTGTCTAAACAGTGTCGGTTTGCTCTGTGCGCTGTGATTGTCTGCCGCGCTAGCTACATCGAATTCGATGACTGCATTCTGCTGCTGCCGAGACTTGCCGCGCGTGTCTCTTTCTCTCTCGCTCTCGCACGCGCACGTATGACTATGTTTACGTATACACACAAGGCATCGTAAGAGCATAAGCGAAGGCAGTCAGCGTAGCTCACGGACTTGACTACGTTGAGTTGTCTTTCTCTCTCTTGCTTGTCCATATAATATGAGGCAATACGTATTGCTGTCAAAGCGTATATGTCGTTAAACTCTACGCACTATCATCCATATTTTCAAATATGATATTAATCAAAGCATGTATGTATACGGGTCTATGAGTGTGACTTCTTAAGGGATGTTGACATTTTTATTATATTATATTAATAAGCAACGATGACCGCTCGATGCACTAGGTAGGACGATATTTCGACTCGGCGATGACTTCTCCGAAGAAGTCGACGTCTTTATGTCATAACGATACCCAACGATGAAGTGCAAATGCGCTATGTTAATATTTTAATTCATCGATAAATAATTTTAAAAAACCGTCAAAATATTATGATTCGAAATTGTTTTATGTAAGATTGTCATTAGATAGATCCATCATTTTTAAAGTTAGTAAAGGTTTATTTAAACCATAATTTATGTTTTTTTCAGCCGAATTTGTATCCAACTGTTGGATTGCAAACACCTGGAGAAGTGGTAGATGCAAATTTTGGCCAAACGCCATTTTTATTTGATATTACAGATATGATTAATGAATTACGAGTTCGGACTCGTTTGCGCATAATTAATTACTCTACTACTGCACTCAGTCAAGGACAATGGCAAGAAGTACTCAACAAGTAAGATACTTTTAGTTTATATTAACGGTGAATTACAGCGGATCTCTTTAACCAATCTTCTTTGAACATGAATGTAAAATTAAAAATTTAAAAAAAATTTTCTTGGATGACGTGCTTGATAAACTACTTATAAAAAATTACTATTGCTGAAAATTGGTTGGAGTACATGTCTTAAAGAAACTTTTTTTTATTATTATTTTCTTTCTATAATAACTATTTTTATAAAATTTATTTTTCATAATATATATGAGCAGGTTTTTTTAATTTTTGGTGAGTTTTTTGGTAAGGGTCCAAGATCTGCCCTAAAATTTAATACAGGCATACCTCGTTATACGCAGGGGTTACGTTCCGGAAAAGTTCCGCGTATAGCGAAATCCACGTATAATGAGGGAAAAAGCGAATCTTTAGTAAAGAGACTTTATTTTATATAAATATGTTTCTTATAGTTCGAATAGTCGACTCATTGACCTCGAAGCTCCTAGCAATAGCAGCAATACACTCCCCCTGATTAAATTTAGAATTTTCAATTTTTCAGCCAAATTCATAACCTTTCTTTTTTTTATTGGAGTTTTAGAAATTTTCGGAGTATTTGGAGTTATTGTCAAAGTTTTCAAAAGGTTATAAAAAAAATTGTCGACCGTCTTGAACCGCGTATAACGTGACCTTATCCGCGTATAACGAGACATCGTCGCATTCGGCAATCCGCGTATAAGTGTAAACCGCGTATACAGAAGCCGCGTATAAGGAGGTATGCCGGTATATTATTTGGGTATATAAAAATAGCTTTCAGTTCAAATGTTAGCCCTCTAGAGACCCTAAGGCCAAATTTAGGGCTCCTCAAAGGTATAAAAATAGCCGATTTTTTGTATGTGTGCGTATTGTACTAATCGCCGTAGCTCAGGCAGAAGACCATATTTTTTAACCCGGAGGGTCGCCTTCTTTTGGTCAAAATATGTACTTTTCATTAAAAACTTATGTAAAGCTCGACAACCGCCCGCCCCCCCCTTTTATCTCATTCAAAGGGATTTTTATTACCTTCAAATTGCCGGGCTCAGAATTCAAATCGGTTAATAAACAACGAAGGTTTGTTCTTGCCTGCACAGCTGAGAAATTATTGAAAAATTAGAAATGATCAATATTCTTTATACTAATACAAGTATATTTACAGTATTTGTTAAGACTTTGAACTGAACAGACGTATCTGCCACAGAGCTTGTGTTCGTCGTAAACAAATAATAACAGGAAACAAGAAATAATAAGTATCAGTTAAATTTCAAAATGGGAGAGGAAGTGGAATTAACAGCCACTTCTGCTGCCCACTCAAACACCTCTCAGTGGTCAACGATCACTCGCCAAAGGAAAAATGCAAGTCCCGATACAGGGTCTTTAGCGACGAAAAAGCGTCAAAGGGCTATCGACTACTGGCTTAAACAGCCTGTCTCAACCTGGAGAACGAAAATGGGAAAGACCCCGAAAAAACTTGGAGCAGGAAACAAGTAGAAACAGCAAAGAGGTCAAACCACCACCGATCTTCGTAAACGGCGTAAAGAATCTAAATCCTCTCAAACAGAAAATTTCTGAAATTGCCGGTAACAACTTTTACTTTAAAATCATAAGTAATGAATCGGTTAAAATCCAGTTCACGAGCATAGATAGCTATAAAACAGCGATCGAAATGCTGAAAAATATGAAAACGGAGTTTCACACGTACCAATGTAAAAACGAAAAGGGCCATAAAGCCGTCTTACGAGGAATGCATCCCTCAGTAGATGAAGAAGAACTAAAAAGGGCAATAGAAAACTACGGTCACACGCTTGTTCGAATCTCGAATATCGAACAAGCCATTACCAAGAGGCCTCTCCCTCTCTTCTTCATTGAAATAAAACCGAGTTTGAATAATAAAAAAATATACAATGTGACAAAGCTACTAAATACCGTGATTAGTTTTGAGCCACCACGTAAGAAGAGAGAAATACCTCAGTGCATGAATTGTCAAGAGTACGAACACACAAAAAATTACTGAAACAAGAAGCCCGTCCGTGTCAAGTGTGCCCAAAACCATCTCACAAAATCGTGCCCTATCAAAGCTTTAACAAAAGAATACCGCCAATCAAACTGGCAAATGAGTGGGCGAGAAGTGATAGAGAAAAAGCAAACGCCTTCGCTGAACACCTGCACAGAGTCTTTGAAAATCCGCCCAGGCAAATAACGGAGCAAGAAGAGGTAGTCCTACTCCAGAAAGATCTAGTGCACTGCCAAGAGGGCTTGTCAAACAGCGTCTCAGTGCAAGAAGTTATGCAAGAGCTGAAAAATCTCAAAACAAAAAAATCTCCAGGTTACGATGGAATAAATGGGAAAACTATTAAAGACCTCCCACCTAAAGCGGTATGGCTTATAGCAATTCTAATCAATGCATGTTTCCGACTGAAGTACTTTCCCAAACAATAGAAAGTTGCTCAAATAATTGTTATTGCCAAACCTGGTAAACCAGCAGAACATTCAACATCATACAGACCCATAAGCCTGCTGCCAATTCTATCCAAGATTTGTGAAGACTACTGCTCAAAAGATTGGAGCCTATTATCAAAAAAAAAATATTGATTCCTGAATATCAATTTCGCTTTCGAAGTCAACACTCTACTATTGAACAAGTCAACCGGATAGTGGTAAATATACGCAAGGCATTTGAAGAAAAACAATACTGCACAGTAGGGCGGAACGAAAAAACACTTTTGACGCCGATCGCTGTGTAATAGTATTTTATCGAAAGTTTAAGATAAAAAAAGAGAAAAGCCGCGAGCTGGGCGCGAACAAATGATGTCTTCAGGTGGCGCATGAAGCCTGAAGTTTGAAATTCGTAAAAACAATATCTTTATGCTTCAGTATGAAATCGTTACCAAATTTTTCTGCACTGGATTGGCCGATTGGGCTGAAAGTTTCAGGGCTTGTTTTACATGTTGAAAGGAGTTTCTCTGTAAAATTTTAGCCCTCTAGGTGCCTTAGAAGCAAAGATATAGTCATAGGAAGGTTGAAAAATTACGTTACATTAATTTTTTTTTGTTCTTTTTCCATCTTCACACAGCTGTACGTTGCGTAATTTTGCTGCTATTAAAACGAACGAGTAACCAATTTCTTCGTCTTTTAAAGGCCTTTTCAACCATATAAATTTGTATAGTGTTTTTTAAATTTTTACTGAAGTTACAGTATAAAACGTCCAACATTTTGTGTCGCGCTCGAAACTACAATTGTTATTTTTTTTTCTGTTTCTTAAAAGTTACACATTCTAGACAAACTTGAACCCCAATGATAGTTATATGGCCTTAAAGAGCATAAAATTTCCTTTAATTTGGTGTATTTAAAAACTCTCTAGGTCCTCTAGAACCAAAGATACAGCTGTTTGAAGTTTTACTGAAAATGTAAGATTCGATTGTGTGATGATCATACCATATCTGGCCTATGATAGATTCACAGATTCAGTACTTTCATTTTTGGTAAAACTTCAAACAGCTGTATCTTTGGTTCTAGAGGACCTAGAGAGTTTTTAAATACACCAAATTAAAGGAAATTTTATGCTCTTTAAGGCCATATAACTATCATTGGGGTTCAAGTTTGTCTAGAATGTGTAACTTTTAAGAAACAGAAAAAAAAATAACAATTGTAGTTTCGAGCGCGACACAAAATGTTGGACGTTTTATACTGTAACTTCAGTAAAAATTTAAAAAACACTATACAAATTTATATGGTTGAAAAGGCCTTTAAAAGACGAAGAAATTGGTTACTCGTTCGTTTTAATAGCAGCAAAATTACGCAACGTACAGCTGTGTGAAGATGGAAAAAGAACAAAAAAAAATTAATGTAACGTAATTTTTCAACCTTCCTATGACTATATCTTTGCTTCTAAGGCACCTAGAGGGCTAAAATTTTACAGAGAAACTCCTTTCAACATGTAAAACAAGCCCTGAAACTTTCAGCCCAATCGGCCAATCCAGTGCAGAGAAATTTGGCAACGATTTCATACTGAAGCATAAAGATATTGTTTTTACGAATTTCAAACTTCAGGCTTCATGCGCCACCTGAAGACATCATTTGTTCGCACCCAGCTCGCGGCTTTTCTCTTTTTTTATCTTAAACTTTCGATAAAATACTATTACACAGCGATCGGCGTCAAAAGTGTTTTTTCGTTCCGCCCTACTGCACAGCCATATTCCTCGATGTAGCCCAAGCCTTTGACAAAGTGTGGCACACTGGCTTAAAACATAAATTAAAACTAAACTTTCCTGATAGCCACTATCAGCTATTGAGTTCCATTTTTAAAGATCGAACTTTCCATGTGAGAATTAAAAACGAAATTACAAGCTTGTACAAAATTCATGCTGGAGTGCCTCAAGGCAGTGTCCTTGGACCTACACTCTATCTACTGTACACGCCGGATCTGCCATCCTCAGAGAACGTTACTACAGCAACATACGCGGACGATACCGCTTTGCTATACTCACACCAATGCCCTGTAACTGCATCATCCAACTTACAAAAGCATATCTCCATGGTTGAAACTTGGTACAAATCTTGGAGAATAAAAGTAAACGAAACCAAATCTATACATACGACCTTCACTCTCTGTACAAAAACGTGCCCAAGCGTATTTCTAAACGGCATCAACATTCCTCAGGACAATGTTGTAAAATATCTAGGGATGCATCTCGATCGACGTTTAACTTGGAGATCTCACATATGGACAAAGAGGAAACAACTAAACCTAAAGATTCGTAAAATGTACTGGCTACTCGGTAGAAATTCTACTCTAAACCTTGAAAACAAGCTCCTCCTATATAACAGAATGCTAAAACCAATTTGGACGTACGGCATCCAACTGTGGGGTGCGGCCTCCAAATCGAATATTGAAATAATCGAGAGATTTCAATCGAAAGTCTTGCGCTGTCTTGTCAACGCACCATGGTTCGTCACTAACGAAGATATTAGGAAAGACTTAAAAGTCCCAA